TTCCTGCTCCTCTGATGCTGCTTGGCCTGCTGTGTTCATCCAGCTCTACACCTTGTTATCACTGATATTAAAATGTCTTATTTATATAAAGAAAGAGATCCATTCCAGAAGATTAGTAAGTATGTGAATTTCTTTAAGCTAGAGCCAGTTCATTCAAGAAGAAAATGTTTGTAGAAGCAGCAGTGCAGTTTAACAGCCTCCAGAACAGTGAGTGCAGGAAAAAAATAGTTCTGACTGGTTTATTGTCAGTAAGAGGGAGTTCCAGAAAAAAGAAGGCCATAGTAGAGGAATTTAAGGAATCTATATTAAACAGTCATTAAGCTGTGTTACCCGTTTGTTTAAGGGATTCATGAAGCAGCCCATGCCCGTGTACAGCAAGACCTGGACGATACCCGAATTTGGGCTGACAAGTCACAAGTAACATCGCACCACACAAGTGCCAGGCAATGACTCTCTCCAGGAAGCCAATTGATATTCAATGGCATCAATATAAGCTACCGTTGACCAGAAACTGAACTAGACTAGCCTCTAAGTACTGTGGCTACAAAAACAGGTCAGAGGTTAGGAGTCTTGCAGCCAATAATTCACCAACTGACTGACCAAAGCCTGTCCACCATCCACAAGGCATTGATGAGCGTAGCTCCAATAATACTCCAGAAGCTTGACACCATCTAGGACAAAGCAGCCTGCTTGATTGGCACTGCATCCATAAATATTCACTCTCTCCATCTCAAATGCTCAGTTGCAGCAATGTGTGCCATCTAGAAGATACACTGCAGAAATTCTCCATCACTCCTTAGCAGCATGCAAATCCACAACCACCACCATCTAGAAGGACAAGGACGGCATGTACATGGGAACACCACACCTGCAAATTCCCCTTCAAGCCACTCACCATTCAGACTTGGAAATAAATATATTGTCATTCTTTCAGAGTCACTGAGTCAAAATCCTGCAGCTCTCTCCAAAATGCTATTGTGAATCTACCTACAACAAATAGACTGCAGAGGTTCAAGAAAGCAGCTCCCCACCATTTTCCAGGGCAACTAAGGATGGGAAATAATAACTTGCTAACAAAGCCCACGTCCCTTAAATGATGGGATCTTTTGCATTCAGTTAAGAAGGCAGACAAAGCCTCTGTTTATTGTCTCACCCAAAAGGCAACATCTCACTTTGTAATGCACTAAAGTGGTAGCTGGGATTGTGTGCTGACATCTCTGGAGTGGGATTGAAAATGGGAACAGGAGTAGACCTTTCAGCTTAGGCTCTTCCACAATTCAGTTAGATCGTGGCTGTATCCTAACGTTATTTACCAGCCTTTGTTCCCTATCCATTGATCCTCTTGCCTAATAAACATCTGTTAATCTCAGAAAACGCTGGAATACTCAGCATATTCAGCAATGTCTGAAGAGAGGAACAAGAATTATTATTTCAGGCCGGTGATATTTTCTTAGCTGATGACCTGTCGATGTTCTGTGTTTTTCTCTCCATTGATGCTGTTAGACCTTCTTGGATTCTCCAGAATTTATTTTTATATTTCAGATTCCAGAATTTGCTGTATTCTGATTATGTATCAGTCTTGCTTTTGAAATGTTCATAACAGCTTTTTCGGTGTAAGATTCCAAATGTCCTATGCTTTTTACGTGAAATAGTGTATCATGACAGCACCTCTGAATATTCTAGCCCTAACTTTAATATTATTTCACCTCCTGGACTCCCCATCAGAGGATAGTTGTTAGATAGAGGAAACTTACCAGGTCCTTTAATCACCTTAAATATTACAATTAGATCACCCTTTTAACATATTTTATACCTAAGGAATGTAAGACTAGTCTGTGAAACCTAGCTTCATAACTCATCGCTTTTAACCTAATTTTGCTGAATTTTCATGTCACATTTCAAAGCAAGTACATCCTTCTTGAAGTGCTGTGCTAAAACCAATACTCTAAAATGGAGTTGAACCAGAGCTTTCTATAAAGATAACATAACTTCTACTGGATTCCAGCACTTCAGATGAAGGCCAAAATTCAGTTACACATGTTCATTGCTTTTTTTGTGCTTGTTCACTAAATACTAATGACATCTGTGCTTTACTATCGAAATCCTCCTACTCCTTCATGGTACTGTAATTCTCATCATTTAGAAAATTCTCAGATCTGTCTTTCTTGGTCCAAAGTGTTTGTTTTTGTGCTTCCCAACATTAAGCTCTATGTGCCACAGATTTCCCAGTCAATTATACTTGCATGCTACTTCTTGCAATTTTCTACCTCAGTTCATTGTTGTTTCAAACCTTGGAATTTTGAGGTCTTATTCTCTTAGTAAGTTCCTGGTCAGTTCGGTTGCCTTTGTTTTAGAGTCCTACGTGTGTAGAAAACTTGTATAAATCTCATTAATACTTTACAAGGGATTCAAATTTCTGTTCTTTCAAAGACCAAGATTTTTTTTTTAAACTTCTTGCCACAGAGAACTGTGGGGACAGAATCCTTGTGTATAAATAAGGCAGAGATAGATTCTTGATCATTAGGGGAATCAAGGGTCGCAAAGACAGCGCAGGAAAGTGGACGTGAGGAATATTGGATCAACCATGATCCTGCTGAATGGTGGAGCAGGCTCAAGGGTCTGGACAGCCTACTTGTGTTCCTATATCTTATGGTAACGCCCTCAACACTCTATCACAGACTGCCTTAATGACTGCTCACTTTGTAGTAATTCACTCTCCTTTCCTGGGACTATGCTACCTGGAATTCTTGAAACTGCACCCCAGTACCCATTCAACCACTATGGTGTAACTTCAAACCAATACTTTGCTGGCCTTTCCTTCTCATATGTTGATGGCTTCCAGGACTTTTCTTGAGCCCTAATTTTTAATACTTAGCCCCACTAGTTACTTCAAAGACTCTCCCTAAGTCCTTTCTCTACAGAGTTATCAAGCTGCTCAGGTTGTCTGAGACCAACTACTTGGAACCAGTGGCTTTCTCAGCAATACAGCTTAGCAGCAGCACTTTTCTGAGTGGAGCCTGCTTCTGGCATTCTGTGCCTCCCTCTCCAGCTACCTGTAACCCCTGAACTTTTTATGACTCTTAAACAGTTGTGAGTGAGCAGTTGAAAACCTTATAGTAAGCCCTATCCCTTGTTCCTAGATAGGACTAATTTAGCAGCCATTGAAACTCCAAATGTAGCAATTCCTTAGAACTCACTGTTCCCATGATGTTACAATATTCAGTTTACATTATACAAATTGCTTACACCGAAAAATAGGATTTTTTTTATTACAGATGATTCGAGGACTGAATGTATTTAGCTTGAGTTTGCAGACCAAAGAGGAGCTATTTCATTGGACCTGATTTTTGAGAGTCATTATCCTCAAAAAAATAAGCAGGCATGAGGAAACAGAGACAACAAGGTGCAGAGCAGGATGAACACAGCAGGTCAAGCAGCATTGTAGGAGCAGGAAGGCTGACGTTTCAGGCCTAGACCCTTCTTCAGAAATGGGGGAGGGGAAGGGGGTTCTGAAATAAATAGGGAGAAAGGGGGAGGCGGATAGAAGATGGATAGAGGAGAAGATAGGTGGAGAGGAAACAGACAGGTCAAAGAGGCGGGGATGGAGCCAGTAAAGGTGAGTGTAGGTGGGGAGGTAGGGAGGAGATAGGTCAGTCCAAGGAGGACGGACAGGTCAAGGGGGCGGGATGGGGCTGCGGCTTGAGGTGGGAGGAGGGGATAGGTGGGAGGAAGAACAGGTTAGGGAGGCGGGGACGAGCTGGGCTGGTTTTGGGATGCGGTAGGGGGAGGGGAGATTTTGAAGCTTGTGAAATCCACATTGATACCATTGAGCTGCAGGGTTCCCAAGCGGAATATGAGTTGCTGTTCCTGCAACCTTCGGGTGGCATCGTTGTGGCACTGCAGGAGGCCCAGGATGGACGTGTCGTCTGAGGAATGGGAAGGGGAGTTGAAATGGTTCGCGACTGGGAGGTGCAGTTGTTTATTGTGAACCGAGCGTAGGTGTTCTGCAAAGCGGCCCCCAAGCCTCCGCTTGGTTTCCCCGATGTAGAGGAGGCCACAACGGGTACAGCGGATGCAGTATACCACATTAGCAGATGTGCAGGTGAACATCTGCTTGATGTGGAAAGTCTTCTTGGGGCCTGGGATGGGGGTGAGGGAGGAGGTGTGGGGGCAGGTGTAGCACTGCCTGCGGTTGCAGGGAAAAGTGCCGGGTGTGGTGGGGTTGGAGGGAAGTGTGGAGCGGACAGGGGAGTCACGGGGAGAGTGGTCCCTCCGGAAAGCAGATAAGGGTGGGGAGGGAAAAAGGTCTTTGGTGGTGGGGTCGGATTGCAGATGGCGGAAGTGTCGGGGGATGATGCGTTGGATCCGGAGGTTGGTGGGGTGGTACGTGAGGACGAGGGGGATTCTTTTTTGGTTGTTATTGCGGGGATGGGGTGTGAGGGATGAGTTGCGGGAAATGCGGGAGACACAGTTGAGGATGTTCCCGACCACTGAGGGGGGGAAGTTGCGGTCCTTGAAAAACGAGGACATCTGAGATCCATCCTGGGCCTCCTGCAGTGCCGCAACGATGCCACCCGAAGGTTGCAGGAACAGCAACTCATATTCCGCTTGGGAACCCTGCAGCCCAATGGTATCAATGTGGATTTCGCAAGCTTCAAAATCTCCCCTCCCTCTACCGCATCCCAAAACCAGCCCAGCTCATCCCCGCCTCCCTAACCTGTTCTTCCTCCCACCTATCCCCTCCCACCTCAAACTACACCCCCATCTCCTACCTACTAACCTCAATCCTCCCTGGACTGACCTATCTCCTCCCTACCTCCCCACCTACACTCACCTTTACTGGCTCCATCCCTGCCTCTTTGACATGTCTGTTTCCTCTCCACCTATCTTCTCCTCTATCCATTTTCTATCCGCCTCCCCCTTTCTCCCTATTTATTTCAGAACCCCCATCCCCTCCCCCATTTTTGATGAAGGGTCTAGGCCCGAAACGTCAGCCTTCCTGCTCCTACGATGCTGCTTGGCCTGCTGTGTTCATCCAGCTCTGCACCTTGTTGTCTCAGATTCTCCAGCATCTGCAGTTCCTACTATCTCAGGCATGAGGAACCTTGATTGGGAAATTCAGTATCTATTTCCAACACATTCCATCTTTACTATTCAAGAAAATTGGTTGGTGTGTCTCATACGTGAGGGAAACACAAATTCATTGGGGCCGTTTGAACTCAATGCGTCAAACATCTGTTTTCTGCTGTTACTGGGGCCTCTATCCTGCAGTGTTGATAACTTTATGGAGAAAACAGGCTCTTGAAAGGCAGATAAGGTCTGCAGAAGTGTCAAGTTGTGGTTATTTAAATCTCCAGCCCTATGAAATTGTTGCAACAAACCTAACTGTGTGAGCTGAAAATAATCTTGCTTTAATAGTTACAATAGCTGTTTCTTGACATTGCCTCAAGGGTTACCATTACATCATTATTAATAGCTGGCTACTTTTCACTACCTGAAAATAGCCCAGCCAGGAATAGGTGTTGTAAGTTCACACATATAGTCGATACTTCAGAAGTTATCAAAAGGGTTCTGGGGTTCTAAATAAAGTCTGTTTTTATAGGGGATTAAGTATTTGAGGATAAGCTTTCATAAACAGCTGTTTAAGTGTTCGTAAACATTGTAATAGATATTTACATTATTTCATCTCAGCATGGCTTCTGAGTTCAGCCCATGCTAATTACTAGGTGAGTTAGCAGGAAAGGTTGTAAGAACAAATGATGGGGTCACGGACTGGCGTGGTAGGCGTGGAGATTTGTAAAGGGCCATGGGAATGGGAGAGGAGATAATAAGGTTTAAATAATGACACACATTGGTTCTAATTTGTAACAAAACATGAAATCCTAGAGAACCAAAGTGGGTCTTTTAACTAGTTTTGCCTTAGCTGGAGCATCCGTGATTGTCTCTGAACAGCATGCAGAGACAGCGGGTTCAACATCATCTGCACCTAGCAGCGCCCCCACCCCACCCCCCACGAGTGAAAACCAGGCTTTTCATTCCCCACATTGAATGTGACAAGCTGAGAAATTCCCTGACCCAGTCTGCGTGGGAGAAACTATCCAGCCCATTGTTAGAAGTATTTTTTTTTTAATGAATGCAAATGGCAAAGATATGCTAGTTTGTCACTAACTTTTAAATTGAGTTTTTAAGGAATGGATTAGTAATATTAAGATACCTTAATTATCCTGTTAATGACTGGGGGGAGATAAAAGTAGTGTGAAAAGATGGAGAAAGTAGAATAACTCCTGGAATGTGTGCAGGAGAACTTCCTCACCCGATATGTTTCCACTTTTAAATAATTGAAGCACGTATACATGGTCCTGGAAAATAAATTAGAGCAACTAATGCATGAAGCAGGTGATGATCGTCTATGCCTCACAGTGATCAGAATATAGTTTAACCTAATGCAATTTTGAAAAGAAACCACAAAATAGTAAAGGTGAAAAAACAAACTACTAGGGATAGTAAGAACTGCTGATGCTGGTGTCAGAGGTAACAGTGTGGAGCTGGAGGAACTCAGCAAGCCAAGCAGCATCAGAGGAGCAGGAAAGCTGATGTTTTGGGTCTGGACCCGATGCTGCCTGGCCTGCTGTGTTCCTGCTCCTCTGATGCTGCCTGGCCTGCTGTGTTCCTCCAACTCCGCACTGTGTTAAACTACTGGGGATTCTGGGAATCTGAAATTAAAAAAAAAAGTATTAGAGAAACACAGCAGGCATGGCAGCATCTGTGGAGAGAAAGAGTTAATGTCTGAGTCCAATATTGAAGAATGCACAATCACTTTCACCTCCCACCTGCTACCGTCCACTAAGTAGGAAGACAGATAAGAGACAAAAAATAAGGATAGCATAAAAGAAAACAAGGCAGAAAAAGACATAAAAGAGCATGTATAAATAGTCAGAAAGAGAAACAATCATAGTCAGAATAGTTATCTGTAATATGAAGACACAAGACACTGAAAAGTCAGATGCAAGCTACTCAACAATCTCAACAAATAGTGAAGTAAATTCTTCTGAGCTTCTTTATTAGAGCCACAGTGGTCTAATGGTTAAGATACTAGATTAGCAAGCAATAAGCTATACTTTAATGTATGTGTATCTGTAATAAATATACCTATTATGTGTCAACTAACTTATTTAGCCATTACTGGTTTGAGTCTACCTTGTAGCTAGACACCTAGCACTCAAAGAGTAGCATCACTAATGCTCTGGGGAAAAATGCCATGTTCTAATTTTCTATAGTAAGATGTGCTTTCCTGAAAGTTTTCAATAATATCTGTTTAATTGTCCTCAGGCATTGATAAGCAACCCAAAAATTGATATAACAGATGGGAAATATGCCTTTAAACCCAAATACAACTTAAAAGATAAAAAGGCTCTTCTGAGGCTTTTGGACAAGCATGATCAACGAGGTTTGGGAGGAATCCTCCTGGAAGATATAGAGGAAGGCCTACCAAATGCACAGAAAGCTATAAAGGTAATTGTTTAAACAAATCAATCTTCACTCCGATCAAATGTTCCCGCTGCTTGCCAAAACCCTGAGATTGGACTCGCATGTGGACGTTATTAACCCTGCCCTTCAAACACCATATTTTCTTACTTTGACTGTCTGCGCATGAAGGATGCCAGGCACTCCTACTCCTCCATGGTCCTACTACATACTTTGTCCTTCTTTGGATTCCTCATGCATTCCTGCCATCCTCATAGTTGAGCCTGACTTGCCTTTACCAGTCTCAATCCTTGGTGCAAGCTCCTAGCCCTCTTCCACATCTGCAGAGCTTAAGAAAAGCTGGTAACCTCAGGAACATTTGTACCAAATCAACAATTTGCACCTTTA